ACTAAAAGATGATCATAATTGTCCGGCAGATTCGTGTTTTGAGTCATTATGGAATGTTTAGTATGCTGTATGTGCACTGGTGTCTGACGTAAAATTCCACAGTCTTGAATGTCTATAATCGTTTTGGTACCGTTTGCCAAAATACCAATTTCCTATGTAGAATACACGATTCAAAATCTGCGTTTTCTTAACTTTCAGCCTCCAGGCGACAAATGCAAAGGAACACGATGGTCTCCAAGCGTTTTAATCGTCAAAAACTCATAGAAATGGATAGCGCAGATCTAGAGAGGATTGTGAAAAACCTAGTCTGGCTTCGATTTTCAAAACCGTATGTTTTGTTGACATTTATGGCCAGATGTAAAAATCGTTTTCTGGAAAACTTTTATACTCCTACATGAACTTACCTATTCCTCAACCTTTATCTGTATAGGATTTTTAGCACAAATGTGTTGGGTACTGAGCCGGCGTGCGCTTTTGTTTCCCGATAAATGTTTATGATCGGTTTTTTATTGTAGGATTAACTACATCGAGGCACAGGACTTCCTTAATAAGCTGTCACAGGATGTTGACATGAAACCACCGGTCGCATCATTTCAGTAAGTTTTTCGTCTCTCTTCTACTAAGACAACCTTTTCAGCATCATTAGTCACTAACTTAAATGAGTTTTGTTCCGCACGCCTTTAAATTGTGACTGCGTTCATAGTTGCAAATTGCGTGTATGGGAGAATATATTTGTCTTGTTTGTGGCTATCACTCAGTCCAACCCCAAGCCCATGCTCTGAGATCGTAAGTTCGAACTCGGATCCAGTTTTTCGTCGAGACAGACGCTGCGCCAGTTGGTCAAAGGGCTCAAAATCTGCCGGCTTCGATCAATGTCGCGCGAGGACCATACGGCCTATTAATGAATAATAGTAATAATTCTAACGTCGGTCTTATGCCATTTTATGTTAGGAGTCATGGAATGGAATTTTAATGAAGAAATATAACATATTTTTCGTCCGACAGTCTGGTTATTGAAAGTCTCCCGAGGTTAAGATCAGCCTTTTCGTGAATTGAAATTTTAGTTTGAATTGTAATACTTTTAAATCAACTCGAAGCAATTGAGTTGACTGCTTTGCGAAGTTATCTGGTTGTGGGAATTTCCTGCTTTCTACCTTCGACCTGTAATTTGATGTGCGAAGTGGATCAATCTCCTGTAAAACTCAATAAAGACATTGTTACCTTCTTTAAATCCCTTAGTGTCTTCCTTAATGTATGAAATAATTTTGGTGCTGGCATTGCAACTTTAATTGTCTGCAGGTAAGCACGATTCGACCTCGTTGGAATGAGAACGGAAACGACGCCCTGCTTTTGGCTAAATTCTGAACGGCTCATAATTTAGCTTTCTTGCGCTGTATGAATGGTGTTTTAACAAACATTTTTTTAACTCTTTAAATTACTCACAGAATTGAAACACGTCTCCAGGCATTTAAAGTATCCTTTGAGGCACATTACATTCTCTCCTTTTAAAATTTTTAGTACGTATGTTGCTTTACCAAACCTCATCCGATTTTGCCTTTAGCATCTTGCAGGTGGCATTTCATGAAACGCGACTGTTTGTAAAGCTCAAGAACATCATGCATATTAATCACTAGTACAAAGAAATGTCCCGTTATCTTTCTTCTATTTGTTTTTGACTTGTTATGCTCCCCTATTATATGTTTACTCTATTTTGTAGACTTGACCGATCTGGGAAAATTCTGCAATTTCACGTCCCTTTTCAAGCTGGCTTAACTGCTGACGATGTGATTGCTTCATTATGTAAGTCCTTTTAGATCGAAACTAATCAGAATGGAGGACTGCAGGCCTTTATAATGTTTGTTTCTCACTTTTTCGACGCTCTGTGTGGACTCAAAGACTGCAATCTGAGAGGTTGGAGTCGATTAGAAAAGGAAATTATAGGAAAATGAAGTTATCTTCATCAAAACAACTTTAGGAAATTATGGGGCGTACACGTTTAGATTCTCAATAGGCAACCTCATGTTACCTAACAGTAAAAATTCGAAATTGTGATAAATAAAAAAACACGAAAGCAGCAACTGCTGCAGGTTACTATGGCATTAATTGCATTCGTTGTTTTGTTTTTGCGCCTCATCTGCTAGGCTTTACATTGGGAATGCGCTATAGTGTGTAGATGTGAGGCTGCCTCAGCCAAGTTTCAGATGAAAGTCAAGTCAGTTTCTCATATCCAGTATATAGTTCGCAAACCAACCTATGTGAAGGCGTATTTGTCTGTGCTGATTTATTTTATTGGGGAAGAATATCCCTAAGAATGAGATCTCTTAGAAAAATGCATTTATTCTGGCAGCAATGAGAGATTTTTAAAGCTATGAATGTAAGGTGCTTGTCATGGAAATTACTTTGATGTCAGCTTTATTTTTTCTTATATTAAAGCTTCCAAAAGGGAGTGGTTTCAAATGAATGGAATTCTGGATATCGGTAAAGGAATACCGGCAAGTCTTCTAATTTTCTCTATTATAGGTCGATTTATGGTTTTGCCAGAAACTATTGAACAAACCTAGGTAGATTTCCCGGAATAAGGCCTCTCGAGCCCAGTCCCGATTTTTACGCAGCCATTTACCGCAAACACAGTCTACGTCTTCAATTATATCACGAGTTGTTTAATTATCTGTTTGCAGTACAGAGT